TGATTGAGCTTTGATCCAAAGAAATAAGGGTTCATGCCAAAATAAGTGCTCTGATAGTTAGCCTTTGTGGTGTTGCAGAATTTTTTTTTTCTGAAGATCAGAGATTTAAAAGAAAATGTGTATATAAATTTCATCTGTGAGCTTTGTTTTGTTGGGTATTTGTTGTTGAATTTGTGATTGTTGGTTAAGATCTTGAAGAGGGGATATCTTTTGTCTTTGGGTGATGTGATTCTTTTTCATCTAGGGCTTAAGTCATGCAGACTGAGGCCCATTTTGTAAAGGTGCTACCCTATATTGAGATGGCCACAGGGCCTTTTGGTGAGGAATACCATTTAAGGTGAGGAAATGTTTTGCTGTCTCTGGCACCTTTTATACTTTGCTTGATTAAAAACAGCTTTCCATCCAGTAGCCAAAATTTTTCCAGTCACCATGTTGGATTATATTGTCTTTTATCAAAGCACTGGTTTTGCAAAGGAGGTTTTAGATTCCTGAGGAATAATGGGTATGGTGACTGAGATCGGTAGTGGGTAAAGGGCTCTTCTTGTAGATTATTGGTATATAAATAAGAATTTATATCTATGTATCGGGATAGCACAGAAATAATCAAAACCTAGCTTTACCCTTCTGAAGTTTGATCTATTTTGAGGTTCCATAGGGGCTAGGATTTTGATTACATTTTCTTGACTAAAATGGGAAATTTCTAATGCTGATTTGACAGTAGACAAAGGGGAGTCTCAGTTGGCTGAGGGGTTGTTCTCATGAGGGAGAAGGATAATTATTTTCTGTAATCCGGTGTATGAAGCCATTTTCATTTGCACCTCGTTGACCATAAGTGTCACTTACATCCTGCCTTATGACTCTCAGCCACATCTGTGTGGATGTGTTTTAAGCATGTCAATGGACAAGCCAGGGTTGAGTTTCCCAGTCTCTGCCCTGCTCACCCCTGTCCACCTCGTTGTGTTGGATGTTCACTGCTGACTTGCAGATGTACAGCTGAGGATTAATATCTACATTCATGTGTGAAGCTGGCCCAGTATCAGAATGCCTGTACTGTTTGAAAAGCAGACAATCCAATGTTTTTCAGAGTCTGAGGGAACCAAGACTCCATTTTTCACTAGTAATGGCGGCAAACCATGCATTCTGATTACCTCAGAGAGGTTCCTTGCCTTAACCAAGGAGGCTGCTATTATGTGTTCACCAACAATAAGTGAACACATATGTGTGAGCACATACAGAATGATAAATTGCTATTGAAAACAAAAGCTCTTTGGGTGCTTTACTGTTTAATGTGTAATGTGATACCTTGTATCATAGTGACAGAGTGGCAGACGGCATTGGCTCTGTAACACAGAATCACCTTTTGTGCATACTTCGTACAGGAAAGCAAAAAACATTGGATCTCCCTAATATGCTAATAAGTTTGGTGTGCTCCAGATGTTTGAGAAACACTGGAACAGCTTCAAAGCCCTCCTTGTTTTCATTTCTTTTGGCATTGCCTTTGTGGAGTAGAATTTTCCTTTGGTTTTGTATTCTGCCATGCCTTCTTTGTCTCTAAAATATAAAATCATATTCTCTCTATTTTTTTTCAAGTGTTAGAAAAGAACTATCTTGTGTTTCTGCATTGTGTTTTGTAATCTAGAGTTACCATTTATTGCTTAAAAATTCTTTAGTTGAAGAAGGCTTTGCATAAATTGTTTCAGTTTAACTATATTTTCATGTAAGGGCAATAGGGAGAAAGGATTACCATGCACACAGTATTTCTAGTTTTCAACATGATTCATTTTGTTCTTCTCTGCTGCTGTTCCAGACCCTTGTGTGGTGCTGGAAGGTTTTTCATTTGTTGCTAATTTTGGAAATGAGATGAATAGCTACTGAGCTTTTAGAGATGCTGGTAGCAGCATGCTCTTGTGTTTAATATCTTGGGATGGTTTTCTGGGTGTATGGCGGTGGACAAGTGGTGTCCAGGCTGTATCACATTGTTGATAGTGTCTAGCTGAGGTGGCAGGCCCAGTCCCCAAGCTGTCTTTATGTCGGTGATTTTGAATTTTTTGTTCATATTTATTGCTTTTGTGAAAGACAATAGACTGGTTTAATTTAAGTTCAACGTACTGAATATTAATGGAGGAGAACAAATGTACAGTGACTAGATATTTGGGCCTTTCAGTTTCTTTTCTGTTTAGCCTCCTCTCTCCAACAAATGCTTGTTTTAGCATTTGTTTGGGGTTGGGGGAGGGTGGAAAATTAAAAATGGAATGTGTGTATAGGAAGGGAATACTGTTGCATTATTTCTCCTCCACTAAAAATAATAATTACTACATGGAAGGAGGGCTGTGTTAAGCAGGAGAAGGAAAAGGCACCACACATTAGCCCGTCTAATATTGCCATGATGGCTATTCTAATGTGAATGTCCCCATCACATTCTGTTCTGCTGATCCAGCTCTCCTAGCTCAGGCAGGCTCTGTGATTTAGTTTAAAACATTAGAAATTAAGTTTGATAGTAGGAGATGTGAAAAAGAGTAAGTAAATAGATCGGGGGAAGGATGCTTTATCCAAGCCACATAGACAAGGAAACTAGAAATGTGTAATTTTTCTGAATAATTTTTATACAGGATGGGAGTACTTAAATTGAAACCGTTGATCATGTACAGAATAACGTCAGCTCTGCTCCCTCATAAAGGGTCTGATTCAAACACTAGGTCTGTGTTGCTCTCTCAAGTTCAGGTCATCCTCATTTTGTGACTTGGAATGGAAAAGGCTTGGAGTGCCCTGAAGGTACTAGTTTGAGGCCAGTGGACAGTGGAGCTCCCACTTGTATTCCCATTAATGGCTCGATCTTGCCTTAGGATCAGATCAGCTTTATTCCCCCTTGTGCATAATTTCTGATAAAATTCTAAGGGACATCACATACAATTTCCCCATGCATTCCTCTAGTATTTGTGATTAGTAGTTATTTTTTGGAGGGCTCATTTTTAGCATTTTTATACTTAGAGATGTGTACTTCTTCCCCCAGCTCTTTCCTACTCTGGCTGGTGGTTTGGTTTTTTATTTATATCTGTCCTTGCACCTAATTGTTTGTAGGCAAGCCTCCTAATAGAACTATTGGGAAAAGATGGAGAGAATTTGTTGCTGATGGAGGCCTCTTTGAAATATTGTCCATAGTTATATTATAGTTAGTTGTCTGGTTTCTTGTTTAAGCTTACCCCAGTTGAGTGGTGATTCAGGAACAATAGGTCTTCTGCCAACTGACATTAGACATGGGCTCCAACTAGCTTTGCATCACCTGGGAACACTAGTTGTGTAGAGTAGGGCACATGTGAATCTGGGACAGGCTCAAGTTGGAGAATTTGTTGTTCATCCTGTGTGGGGTTTCTGGAAAGACAGAAAAGCTGCAAGTTTTTCACATTAGTCTAAAGTGTCATACTCAGAAGACCACTTCTTACCCATTCCTACCTAGTGGTATCCCATCTTTCCTTAGTTTCTTTCTTTTAAAAGCTTCCGCTTTTAAAAAGGCTTACTTACTATGTCTACATTGTGCTGCCTGTATGTATGCCTGCGTGCCAGAAGAGGGCACCAGATCTCATTATAGATGGTTATGATGGTTATGAGCCACCATGTTGTTGCTGGGAGTTGAACTTTGGAAGAGCGACCAGTAGTAGTAGTCTCGCATTCTTTTTTAAATGTGTTGATGATTTTGCTCTTGGCTGCTCTGCTTGTCTGACTGAACTGACTTGCGTTACCTTGCTTTCCCCTATCACTGTTCCTTCCTGGATGTGTCAAGTGTTCTGTTTTCTGTTTGTTTTGGTTTTGTTTTCATATGACTAGTGAACACAGGTGTCTCTTTGTGTCCATATCCTAAAGTACCCTGTCAATATAATAGATATTTTGAAAACCTTAATCTCCCTTCTTTCACTTTTTTCCCCCTGATGAATTATGCTTTATCTACACATACACACTATTTAATCATAACCAAAAGTACACTTGGCTATCCTAAAGTTTGGGAGGGGCCTCATAAATTTTATTCCTTAGTCCCCCTCTCTTGCTAAGGAATTGAACTGGACTTGGCTACTGAACTGGCCCCAGTCACATTTCTATTGGGTTTTGAAAGTATATTTGTATTTTCCAGTGATTTGGTATCCTACCCATTTCTGTATTGGTGTGTCAATGTACTGCTAGTCACGATATTATTTTAGTTATATTATATATGCAATTCATGTTTTTAGATTCATAGCCAAAAGACATTTAAATAAATAGGTGAAATTACAGTATACTTAACAGTGCATTATGCATTCTGCTGCTACACCTAGTGAATACTGTTATCGTCCCTGAGTGGATCTTTCCATGTTTGTGTCCACAGGAATACATCCATGTGTGGTTCAGTACTGAAGATCTAGGTAGCTCTTGTTTGTTGAGATCTGGGGCAAGACTAGCTAAAAGCTAAACTAATGGCTCTATAGGATTTTCCAGTTTGCCTCTAAGATGTTATGATGTTTCTGCATTTAGCTGTTAATTTTTGTTGTTGTTGTTGTTGTTATAGTTAGTAAACATTTACTCGTTACTAGTTATTTAAGAAAACTAGTGGGATGTTAAGATAATTGAAGCTCTTTAAAATGTATTTTAGTTTAATCCCTAGCATTTTAGAAGCTGAGGTAGGGACATCACTCATTGAGGCCAAACTGGGCTGCATATTGAGACACCGTCTCTGTACCAAAACCCAAAACCATCTTCATCCCATTTTTGGCCCCCCACCCCCCCAAGCAGGTGTTGTGTATGTGTCACACGCACACAAAATTACATCTTGACTTTTCTTATGTTAATTGTTTTTTGTAGTTAGGCTTTTGAATCTCTTGTGAGTCAAATGAGGCTTAATTTTTCTTCCTTCAAGAGGATTGTATGTGCTTGTAAGTTTTCTTCTGCCCTCATCAGCTGTTGTATGGGATTGAAGGAAAACTGCTGCTCCTAATGTAATGTATTTAAGTGTTTGTCCCTTTTCTCACCTGTAGGGCTCCTTGGTAATGACCAGTCTAAGGCTTTAGGACCAGCCTCAGAGCAGTCAGAGAATGAGAAGGACGATGCATCCCAAGTGTCCTCTACTAGCAACGATGTTAGTTCTTCAGATTTTGAAGAAGGGCCGTCGAGGAAAAGGTTAGTACCCAAGGCTGGAAAGTATTAGTGATTTAATCATAAATCAGGGACTACAAATTCGGTTGGTAATATTTGCCAAATGTGGACAAGTGTGAATCTACCCACATAGTCCTGTTTGTGTGTGTTTTTTTTTTTTAAGAGTTAGAACTAAGGCTTTCTTAAGTATTTCCCAGTAGTACAAGGAAATGAAAGCTGTTATGGCCTGAATTAAATGTGTTCCTGCCATGCTTCTTACCATCAGAAATTCTTAAATATATCTTATATGTGTTTTCCTCATCTCTGAAGAGAGAATTTTTTTCCAAATTATTAGAAACTTCATATGGTATTATTTATTGAAAGGTGGTATTATTGTCATGAGACTAGGAATCACTGCCTATGATCTTAATACGTCTGATTTTAGTCAAACTGTAGAATCTGTTCTTCAAATGTAGCATTGTTATTTCTATATGATTTTCCCATATGACTTAAGATAGTTCAGTAAGGTGGTATGCTATAGCTGTTTCAAGATTATTGGCAGTAACATTGTATAGCATGTTGTTCTAACTGGACCTTTAAAAAAAATCTCTTTGCCAGTATTTACCAAATTTCATGTCTTATTGTTTACCCCGTTTAAAATTTATTTTTTGTATTATCTTTATGACTATAATATTAAAAGGAAAAATTCTCTTGGTTTGATCTTCTTAGTTTGATTCATCGTCTCTAGTGAAGAACACTGAAAAATTAAGGGGAAGAAAGTTAGCTATATGTTTGTGCTTAATAGTTCCTGAGCCTGAAGTTGACGTACATAGCTCAAATTCTTAATTTGTCTTCCTTCTTCCTGGTGTCTAATAGCATATGGTCTGTATTAATAACTTGCACTGTCATAACTGGCTGTCTGATGTGTTAGTATAATGAGTACACACATCAGATGACTCTGTCAGCACACTGTGCTTGTTCTTTTTAGAAAACAATTGAGAGATTCAGTGATGAGTTTGAAGGGGACCATCACTGGAGTAGAAGGCTGAAAAATATATTCAGTAAATCCATTGTCATGTGTGGTAATATCTGTGCCTTCTAGAATGGGTGGTGCCCATGCCTCTGGCATCAGCTTTTGCCTCGATTTGGAGAACACGTTCTTTGATCATAAGCCAGCATTCACTACTGTGTGACTGACTCCCCCTCCCTCCCTGGTGTCAGTAGGTCTCATTTTTATGGATGACAGTACTGGTGGCTTTCTTTCTTTGCAAACATTGTATGGTTAGTGTAGCTGAGTGCAAAATAGTCATTTAATCTGAATTTGCAGGTCAATAGAAAAAGGAAAAACTTTGTAGAGTTAAATTTTAATCACTGCAAATCTTTTTTTGGTTGTTGTTGGTGTTAAATATCTTTTCTACTAAAGAATTTATTGTAGGATGCTAGTGATGGTTCAGCAGTAAGGAGCACTTGTTGCTCTTGCAGAGAATCTGGGTTTGAGTCTCATAGCCACCCATAACTCCAGTTCCAGGGGATCTCTGCATGTGGTAACTTACCATACATGCAGGAGAAACAGTTATATACATAAAATTATTATTATTTTTTTAAATTAGAGCAAAATATTTCATTGTAGTAAGAGAAAATACAAGGGGAAAAGTAGAATCCATTGCAGCATCTTTTTGAGCTAATAGTCAAATTCTACAAGTAAAACTTAATAGGTATTTGTGTGGCTTAAGTATAGGGTGCACCAAGTTTTCATCACTAGTTTTTAGAAAAAGTTTCTATAATTTAGTGTACATTGGTGTTTTGCTTTCAAGTATGTCTGTGAGGGTGTCAGATCCCCTGGAACTGTTGCAGACAGTTGTAAGCTGCCACGTGGGTGCTGGAGGTTGACCCCTTATCTTCTGGAAGAGCAGCTGGTGCTCTTAACCACTGAGGCATAAAACACTCAGATTTTATAATTTTTTTAATTACATGTATGCATGTGTGTCTGTGTGGGATGTGCACATGAGTGGAGGTACCTACAAAGGCCAGAGTTGTTGGATCCCCCTGGAGTTGGAGAGCATCTGTTGTTGGTGCTGTGAATCAAAGTTGAGTCCTCCCAAAGAGCAGTACACTGTTGCAAGATATTTGATCACACTGTGATCCAGATTGTGTACGGGAAAAGCCTGTATCTAGTTGTGGTGTGGCTCAGCCTTATCATACACCTTTAATCCTTGAGCTTTCTGTAAATCAGATTAAATAAAGTCAACCATAGGTCAAGAGGTGGAGCAGGCCACCAGTTGATAGGGAGTGAATATAGGAAAAATATCATAGAAAGTAAGAAAAGGTCAGGAGGATGGATAGAGAGATACACAGGAAGTAGAAAGGAGGGACATTCAGTTTGAAGGAGAAGGGGCTTTTTTTTTTTTTCCTTCTTAGACATCTGCTAAATAGGAAGGTCAGTTGAGTGCTTTGTTTGCCTCTCTGAGCTAGTAGGCTTTCAGCCCAGGATCTGGTTCCTGAATCTTTGTTGATAAAATTGAATGTTTGGGATTTTGTTTAAAAACAATAGTATATGTTCTTATCCTATTTTTTTGTCCTTTACCTAGTCCCAATGCTAGTTTTTGATGCTGGTATGAGATGTCCTCATTTACTTAAAGCTGGAGGTTTATCAGTAGTCTTGTTAAGGCATGCATGGCTTTGCAGTGTCATAGGATAATTCAGGAGCTTTGATATAAGTAATACATTCTTAATAACTTACATTTTTAAGAAATCCTTTGTTTTGGTTTTGTTCTATTTTTAGTGGGTTGGGTTTGAACTTTTTTAAAAGCAGAATTGATGAGTTGGAATTGGAATTTCTGCAGATTGCTCAGTATAGTGTTTACAGTCCATTTGCATTGTGTTAGATACTTAAAATTTCTGGGACAAAATAAATACTCAATCCTAAAAGTTCAGGGTCATATTTGTATATTTGCTTTGACGTTCATCCTATTTTTAGGATGATCTGATGTGGTCATTGGTAACTGTTCTTTTACCATTTTGTTTCTGTGTGTATGGTCTTTGTTACTATTTCCCTTTTTGTCTGTTAGCTGGAAGAAGAAGAAACAAGAGGACAGTTTGGTCAGGCTGTTAATGCCCATATCCTGGAGTCTATACGCAGTGAATGCACCTTATATTCTGACCTTATGTGGGCTGACTTTCTCCCCAGGGAAATCGCTTTTTGTTGTGATACTTCTCACATGCTTTAAAAATGGTTTTGATTAAAATGACCTTGCGCTCACAAAATGTTCTCTTCTAGACTCATGTTAAGCTGTATTTGCTCAATATGCCGTGCCATAGTTGTTCCCTGACATATAGAAGACAGAAAACAGTAGAATTCATAGCTCTTTATGACTCCTTTCTCAGTTTTAATTCCTTAGGGAGAGTGGGTTAGAGACTAAAGTCCTAAATGTCTTTTATCCTACCTGTTATAGGGCAGTCTTTGTAGAAGACAAAGCTGACTGGGAGTTTTCTCCTTGTTTGTGCAGTGACTTCTAAATGGAAAAGCGAAGTAGATGAGGCACTTGGCATAGCTGATGGCTGGTGTGTGAGTCTTTATTTTATATTTACTGAGTGAGGCAGGTAATGCTGTCTGTTATGATCCTTCCCTCAGCCTCCACAGTGTCATCACAGGTACATGTCCTTGCTCTTGACCTTCCGTCTTTTTATTTTGATTATTGTGGTGGGCGATATAATACACATCAGGGTTTTCTGTTGAAGTATTTAAGTTGGAAAAACTAGATGATGACTATGCCTAGGCCATTCCTGTAAGTTGTCTGTTTGATTTAATTTATGTACCCTTCTGGAGCAATCAGAAATTTAAAAGTAGCTTAGTGTTTGTAAAAAACAGAAATGGACAGATTTAGGCCAATCCTGTGCAGAGTGGTAAGAATAACGTTTTAGAGGTAGAGTTGTTAAGGTAAAGATGTATCTAATGAGTCACTAAGTTTTGAAGAGAATAAAGGTGTACGGTACATGTTCTATGTGTCTGATATCACTCTCAATCATCAATAATTTTGGTGACACCTGAATCTTCAAGATCACTGGAGAGACCTGTTTTACACATTGTGATATGTCTTTTCACCATTCCAGGCACAGCAATCTGTAGGCACAAGGAAAAACATGGACCTTTCTCCCTCTTTTGAAGTCAACTGAGGTCCTGGAAAAAACACCTTTATGGTGAACAATAGTGATTTTCTGTGTTGAGCGTAATATGCCTTCAAACTTCAGGAGTGGGACCATTTGTTGATAAATAGGTTCTATGGAAACTATTCATACCTTACTCATCTTTTCAGCCTGCGTAGAGGCCTCTATCTAGATCATAATGCCCAAATCTATGGCAGGAAGATAGTCTTCCAAAGTAATTCATGCAGTTGCTATAACATACTTTTCAAAATACCTGTAGATAAAACCAGATAAAATAACTAGATAAAATAATACCACTGTATAGGGTATAGAACAAATGAAATGCTTTTTTAGATTATTCAGTTCAAGCTCACTTTTCATATAAAGATTCCTGGGTTTGTGTGAAGTCATGATTGAATCCAGTTTAGTTTCTGGATATGAATACCTGTGAGCATTCAATAGTACACTAAGAGATTGAGTCTGCAGTTTACTAATTTGTACTACTATTACTATTTTTCTGAGATATATTTTGTTATAAATATTTAAATGTATAAATATATATTTTGTCTCTAGGTTTGGAAGGGAGAGAGAACACCAAATATATGGGAGTGTTGCTGCACAGCATACAGGGCTAAAACTAAACGAGAGTTTAAGAATTTAAAGTCCTGCATTGAATAGTTTTATAGCATCCCTTTGCCAAAACATTAATAGTATTGTTTAAGGTTGATGCACTAACTTATTGGCACCCCACAAACAAACCCGAACATTTTTATTTTCTTTATACATCAGCTAACTATGATATTCCAAATTCTGTCACAAAATTGAATAGTATTTTACAAACAAAGTCTGTACAAAGTTAAAATTTTAGTGCTCTATTGACTGAAGAGTACTTCATACTCATT